ATTTTTTTTAAATTTAAAATCCATGTGTTGTGTGGTGGCCGTGCACTCATTTTCTGCGTCATGCCCGCAGGTACGTGAGTCTGGACACCCTGGTGCCGAGTCCGGTGAATGCCGACGGCGAGGTCAAGTCCTGCGGCGCGCTCGTGGACGAGCTCCTCGAGGCCGAGGACGCGCTGGACGAGACCAAGACGGTTTCGCGCGCCCAGCTGCTGGAGGGCCTGGTCGCCGGCCGAGGGGGCTCGCTCAACAGGCACGCGGCAGAGGTGAGTAGATTTGGTCCGGGGGCATCCAAACGGGAGGGAATGTGAAGATTTGTTTTTAATTTTGTCACTCCGTGTACTTTGTATCTAATGTGCCGCCTCTCGTCCTCGCAGACGCTGCTGCGCCGCGGCGCCGCGGCCGCCCCCGGTGGCCTGTCGCCGACCCTGGACCCGCGCGTGGCGCGCTCGCCCGTGCTGCCCGCCGCCCTGGCGCTGGCGTGCGCCCGCAGCGTGCGCTGCCCGACGCTGGCCGTGCTGCCGCAGTGGCGCGGCCCGCGCGCGCTCGCCGCCGATGAGGAGCTCCGCGCGCGCTTCTTCGCCGACCTGCGCATGGCCGCCAAGTCCGTGACGGCGGTGGACGTGGCCGGCACGCACCACGCGCACCTCAACAGCCCCGAGGTGGTGGTGCCCGCCCTGCAGGACTTCCTGGACCAGCACCGCGGCCAGTCCCACCGGCAGCCGGCCGTGTCCGTCGACACCTTCACCGTCTGAAGCAAAGCTCGCTTCGCTTATAACTCGCTTGGCTGTGCCAGCCCCGAGTCGTGCACCCCCACACTTTTTGGCTGAAAGGTGGCCCGTAGGTGGAGCGTTCGAGCGCCGTCGTCGTGGCGCCGTCAAGGAGAGAACTGTTGCCGGATGCCCGAAAAAGGCATGGAAAAGCTCTTGATGCTGTGATGATGCTCTCTCTTGCGACAGAGGAAAAAAAGTAAGATTTTGTTTTCGCCAACCACAAGACTAGTGGAACTACACGTTTTGATTTTTTTTGAAAATTAGTATTCCTATTTTTATAATGTTCGAAAATTGGAGACTACGGGGCATTAATACAATTAGTTGTGATGAATAAGGATTGTGATACTTGACTGAAACATGGGATTTGTGTACAAAATATTGTAATTGTGTAATTTTGTATGTAAATACTGTATTTTGGTATGATTGAAGTGATAAGTGGTGTGATTGTGATAGTTGA